AAAAAAAAAAAAATAAAAAAGGAAAAGAGTCAGGGAGGGTGAAGGCAAGGGATATCCAGGCTGGAAGGGAGGTCAGAGGTTGTTTTGATTTAAAAAATATAAAGAAGCCCCTCTGTCTGTTTTAATGATCAGGCTGGAATGTGGGTCCTGACTCCTCTCCTTCCTGATAGGATCCAGGGAGATCCCCAGAGGGGCCCCTGCCCTGGCATTTGCCTGCTAGGGGACCTGAGTGTTCTCCCTCCAGCCATCCCCACTCTCTGCCCTGAAGCCCCCACTCTATGCTCTCTGCCCTCCTGCAGCCAGGCAGAGCAGCCCCTGCAACCCCAGCATCTGGAGGCAGAGCAGTGAAGCAGAGAGAGCACTGGGTGAGATGTCTGGAAGTCCTTGGTCACTTTGGGACTATGGGCCAGGAGACTGGGGCATACTGGCCATCAGAGTGGGGCCAGGCATGATTGTGGGCTGGACCCAGGGCTCCTGTGTTTGAAACCAGTGCAGAGTTGAGAGCGCCAATTTTTTTGTCAGACCTGAATTCAAATCTAGCTCTGTTCCTCTTTGATTGTGGATCTTGAACAAGTCACTTTACCTCTCTGATTCTCAATCTCCTTGTTAGTAAAGCAGGGATAATAAAAGGCTGAGAGTAAAGGGGATGGCACATATGAAGTACCTGGCTGAGCATCTGCTGCATGTATCTAGGAAGTGTTCAGTACATGGAGGTGGGTGGGGATTGAAGTCTAGGCAGGACAGAGGATCAGAGACCAGGCAGGAGTACAAAAATGAAGTGCAGGCTTGGGCGAGCCCTGGGAGCAGTGGCAGCTCCTGCTCTGGACAGGAAAGAGCAAGAACCACCCCCAGGAAGGACAGCCTCTGCCAGGAGCCAACGAGGAGTCAGGGCAGGGCTGCCTCCTCCACCCCCTGACCTTGAGAGGCCCAAGGTCAGAGAGGAAGGCTGGGAACAGGAGGGAGTGGGAGGGATGGAGAGGGTTCCACTTAATCACTCTGGGCCTTGATTTCCTTCTCTGTAAAATGGACGTACTAAAACTAGCCCTGTGTTCCCCTCGGGACTGCAGGGAGGGCCTTCTTTGGACACTACTCTCAATGTGGTTGGTGATCATGACGGACAGACCATAATTCTGCTTCATTTGTGTAGTCCACCCCTCACTCTGAGCTAGGAGTGAGGCTGCTTCCTGACACCCTCTCCTTTTCCCTCCGCACCCCAGCAGGGATGGACTGCTCTCTGGGCAGCCTCTTCCCAGGCTGGCATCCATCAGGGCAAGGGGGCTCATTCACAGTCCTACTTGGACAGGGACCAGAGCCTGGGAGGGGAGGCTGTCCTCCTGGAGCCCATGCCTTCTCTCCAGACTCAACTCTGGAGCTGTTACCCCAAAACAGCTTGCCCAGAGACCAGGGTGCTAGTGCTTGTTTTCTGGGCAGGAGGGGCTATGGCCTGTGTTGGGGTGGGAGTGGGGAAGCGCTAGAAAGGTTTCAAGACCCCAGCTTCTGCCTGGGTTGAGGGTGGCTTGTGAGACACCTAAAAATTCCTCCGGGTCCCATGGATCGGGCCAGCCCCTTGGCATCTTCTCTTGGCCTCAGGTGGGCCTGACAACTAGTGGTCATTACTTCCCTCTAGCTTTCCCCACTCGCCCCCCAGTTTGTTTTTCTTTCTTTCTTTCCCATTTTTTTCTCTTCCTGTCTTAGCTGCGTGTTTTCCCAGAATTCTTATGGGAACGGGGTATTTTCCTGCCCCCTCCCCCTTCCCCTTGTCTGTCAGATTTCCTGTTTTACAAAATGCTTTGAATCCAGGCCCGAGGCTGGTGGGAAGCAGAGCCTCAGGGGCCCCAGCAGCTTCCAAGGGCCTCTGTCAACCCCAGCCTCCTCCTACTCCCCTTCCACCTGCCGGCCTTGGGCTGGTGCACAGGTGAATGCAGGTGCCCAGCCTTGGAGAGACAGTCCTTAAAGGAAGGAGATAGAAGTCTTCTGTCAAGGCTGTTGACCTTGACCCTTTCCAGATTTGCTGAGCTGGCTTCTTCCTCAGTTAGCCTCACCAGGGCCCCCTCCAAGTCTTACTTCTTTTACAAAGTCTCTTAGGACCCCACTGAACCCCTTTCTTGGCTTTTGCTCCCTTAGCCCAAGTAAGCCAGCAGATAACTGCCTCCTTCTGCAGATGGGATGCTGCCAGGCTGTCCTCGTAATAGCCCTTGCTGAGTCCCTGCTGTTGTGAAGGGTGGTACCTAAAGTCAAAGCACAAAGGACGGTCTACAGCACAGTCCTCATGTTTTGCTCTATTGCTTTTGTGCCCTACTTTCCTTTGGAGACCAGGGAAAGTGCTAGAAAGGCTTCGGGACCCCATGTCCCTCAGGGAGCCAGAGACCAAGGCTTCATGCCTCTGTACCTCAATAGAGCTTGGCATGCAATAGAAGCTCAATAATTGTGTGTGGTTTGAAAAGAGCATCCAGATAGCAGGACCCTTTCATGGGACATCTGAAAGTAGGGGTTGGGGAACGAAGCACACGGGCCTCCACAGGCACAGAGACGTCTGTGGCTGGTTCAGGGGCCTTCCGTGCCTCCCCTCCCCCTTTCCTTGGGAAACCTCACTGACTGCCCCAAGAACCCCAACTCTCTGACCCCTTGTCCTGAGGCTGAGTAAATGTGACCCAGTTCTCCCTCCTCTGTGCTCTGGGAGGGCAGCAGTCAGGCTGGCTTTGTGTTTGGCCCTTAGCACAGGGCCAGCTCTAGGCCAAAGCTCTATAAGCCTCTGGGAAAGAAAGAAGGGAGGAAGGCAGGCAGTGGACCACAGGCAATGGAGGTGTGCAGCACCTCCACCCAAGGTGGGCCCTTGGATAAAGGACTGGGGAGGCTGGGGCTGAGGAGGGTAAGGTTTGCCCTTCCAAGACCTTTTTCATCCCAGGTCCTCCTTACGTTGGCCTGGGTTTACTTCCTGAGCTCAGCCTTCCTGGTTGGCCCACAAGCGAGGGCCCAAGATGCCTGGGCTGAGATAGGGACAATGAATGGCTGGCTCGCTCCTTCTGGGCTCCAGTTCCCTTGGAGAAGAGAGTAGCTCTTGGGTGGGGCCTGTGGGCTTCCTGACCTTGGGGTAGGGGTAGCAACCTCTGGCTTCTGGAAGTGATTGGGCAGGGCTGTGTCCTAGATCACCATCCCGAGGGGGAAGGACGGCTTTGGCTTCACCATCTGCTGTGACTCTCCCGTTCGAGTCCAGGCCGTGGATTCTGGTAAGTGAACAGTGGGTGTGGGGAGGCCAGCTCCGCTTGCCTGCCGTGTACCTGGGCTTTGCAAACAAGAGCCTGGAACAGGAGCCCCAAACTGAAGCAAAACGTCCTGGTTTTTTAAAAACGAAAAGAATAATATTTTTAAATGACCATAGGTGAAACCAAGGGAAAATATGCCCACTTTCTTTGGGTTGTTTTTATCAAAATGAAAATAGGTTTTTATATTTTGTTTTTCTATCAGTTTAAACAGGAACTAAACCTATGTTTACAGTAATGGCTGCATGGGAAAATGAAAGGCATTTATTAAAACTACTTAGAATCAGTATTTTATCTGATACCAAGCCCAATTAGCACTTAAAAATAGTCATTCCTTCCTGGCTTTTCACAAATAAAAACATTGCTCTTAATCACAGAGTGAGCATCGTTAAGGGCAAAAACCAGGACTTTAGTGATCAGGGTGTCCCCAGTGCCTGCATGGGGCTGGTGCTTAATGAACGGGGTAGGGGGTTGGAGTGAGTGGAGTGTGAGCCTGGCAGCAGGGAAGTGTTCTCAAGGGGCTTGGAGGCTCTGGGGAGGGAGGGGGCCTGGGGGAAGGAGGACAGCAGAGCTGTGAGCCAGCACCGGGGGAGGCAAGCAGGGAGGAGGTAAGGGCAAAGGGGTGCTTCCCTGAGAGGCCCCTGAGAGCTGCCAAGTTTGGTCCCTCATTTCACAGTTGAAAAAATGGAGAGAAAAAGGATGGTCCTTGTCTAAGGTCACCATGGAAGCAAAGGACTCAGGTCCTTTGAGGGGGACTTGAGGTTCAGGGGGAGTGGGCCCTGAATGGCTTTTCTTTGTCCCTGCAGGGGGCCCGGCAGAGCGAGCAGGGCTGCAGCAGCTGGACACGGTGCTGCAACTGAATGAGAGGCCTGTGGAGCACTGGAAATGTGTGGAGCTGGCCCACGAGATCCGGTGACAGGGGGCAGTGGGCGGCCCCGGGGCCTCAGGCTGACGACACACTCCTACCCCCAGACCTGGCACACTGCCTTGCCCTGCTCTTGTTAGTCCCTCCTTTGCCCAGCTGTGAGCAATTCACTTTGTTCCTCAGGGAATCAGTTTCTTGGCCTGAAAATGGAAGGCTCAGGCTCAGAGCAATTTTGGATCCCAGAGCAAACAGCAGGGAAGAAGCTCTCAAACAGACCCTGTGGTTCATGACAAGGCTCCAGAGGGTTGCTTTCCACTTTAGCTAATTATTTCTGCTACTGAAGAGCTGAGTCCATTCTTTTATAAGGATGGGTAGATGTTGCAAATGTATCAATTGCATAGTCAGGAAATTATTTATTTATTTATTTTTGCAGTTTTTGGCTGGGGCTGGGTTTGAACCCGCCACTTCCGGCATATGGGGGTTGGTGCTCTACTCTTTTGAGCCACAGGCACCACCCAGGAAATTATTTTTTAAAATGTTTGGGTCCCCTGAATTTTGACCCCCTGGGGTCAAACTCTAATGGTCCCATTTTAGGTTTGCTTCTAGAATGACGAGATGAGGGGTTGCACTCAGCTGGCTTGCTTAGTCCTAGCTGCTTATATCTTGCTCATGACCGACATCATCTCCAGTTGAGTATGGTGCTGGGTCTTGGCCTCAGGGTCCTTCTCAGCCATACTACCAGGCAATTAGAGTTGACCTAAGAAACCCTTTTGCTGTTTCTGCTTTAAATGGCCTCTTACATCCCTTCCTATCTTGACTCTAGGGGCTTCTCCCCTGTGTCTGCCTCCTCCTCCCTTTCTCTTCCTCCTAGGCCCCTACCCTGGCTGATATTTGTCTTCCCCAGGCTTAACCTTTCTGTGTGGTCCCCAACCTCCAGGAGCTGCCCTGGTGAGATCATCCTGCTCGTGTGGCGCATGGTGCCCCAGATCAAGCCGGGGCCAGATGGGGGGGTCCTGCGGCGGGCCTCCTGCAAGTCGACACATGACCTCCAGTCACCCCCCAACAAGCGGGAGAAGAACTGTACTCACGGGGTCCAGGCACGGCCTGAGCAGCGCCACAGCTGCCACTTGGTGTGTGACAGCTCTGATGGGCTGCTGCTTGGTGGCTGGGAGCGCTACACAGAGGTGGCCAAGCGTGGGAGCCAGCACACCCTGCCTGCCCTGTCCCGTGCCACTGCCCCCACCGACCCCAACTACATCATCCTGGCCCCACTGAACCCAGGGAGCCAGGTATGAACAGCTGGTGTGGGGGAAGATGAAGGGCATTGGGTTCCTGTGGGAGGCCAGGAAGACTTGAGGACTGAGTTGTGTTGGAGGAGCCTACAAGGGGCAGGGAGAGTCAGGCAAGGAGATAGCTCTGGCCTCTGTGAGGCTATCTTGGTCAGAGGACAGAAGGTCTATGTGGCTTCAGGACACAGATCTAGGAGCAGGGCTAGAAGATTTCAACATGGAAGAATGAAGAGCTTTCTACCAGCCTGAGGTTTTCCACAGTGAGATGGGCTGCCTTGGTAGGCAGTGAGCCCCCTGTCATAGGAGGTGTGAAAGAGTGCATGATTATATAGTGAGAAGATGGAATTCTTGCTTTAAAACATTAATCCCATGGGATATACTGGGGAAGAGGTCAAAAAAGTTTGAGAAATAGCCTATTCTTTCTTCCTCTTCTGAGATATTCCCAATGCCAATTGGCTTATTCCAAGCTCTGAAGGCACCTGCAGTGAAGCAGGTGGTTCATCCGTGTTCAACCCAGCATTTCCCAAACATACCCTTTCCGGCATGGCATTTAGCATCCTACCTTTTCAGTGTTCCATGGGACATAATTTGGAACAAGCTGCTATAAACGAAGGTGGGGACTTGCCAAGGGGTTACACTTCATGGCACATAAAGCTTCTTTCAACTCTAATATTCTGGGATTCTGTGTCCTCTCCAGGCCCCCTCCCTCAGCTGGTTAGCAGAACTGCCACCTTTCCCTCATGCCCTGAGGTGCTCCACTTCCTATTCCCCCCACCCTGGCTTGGTGTCCAGCAGCCACTGGGCTGTCCTGCCTGTTTCTGGGGCTGAGATGGTGCTCCTGTTTTTCCTTTGCAGCTGCTTCGACCTGTGTACCAGGAGGATACCATCCCTGAAGGTGAGTGGGCCTCTGCTGTAGGGCACCCCAGCCCAGAGAGACCATGGAGACCAGTAGAGGCCTGGCCCAGCCTCCTCTTCTGAGTTCAGAGGCCTTTCTGATAGAGTCTGGGTCACCCAGCACATTGACACAGACTCTTTCCTCTGTGTCACAGACTCTTTCCTCTTTTCTGTACCAGTGCCTTTATTCCTTGAATCCAGAACTGAGAAGGAAGACAGGGGATCTTACCAGGATAATCTAAGAGTTCAGAACTCAGGCGTTCGGTTGAGGTTCACCCAGTTTTACTGAGCAATCAATACCAGTTAGGGGCTGTAGGCAACATGCATGGGCCTGCATGGAAGGGAGTCATGGAGTTTGGAGCTGGGAAGTCTCAAGGTGAAAGGTTAGCCGCGTAACTTTGAGCAAATCATATCCCCTCACTAAGCCTCGATTTTTTCACCTGCAAAAATGGAGCTAATAATTCTTACCTCCAAGGGTTGTGGAAGGATTATGTGAGAAAATGGTGTGAGTAGCAGCCTATACATGGAGAGAGGGTACCCAGAGGATAGTTGTCTTTGAAGTGCACAGGTATCTGCTGTTTCATGCGTTCTTCTCCTTTAACCTTCAAATCCTGGCTGGGGATGGAAGCTGGGCTCTAAACCAGTTCCTTCTTCCAGGAAGCCTGAGATGTCTGTCCTGATGTTGGAGCTGGCTGGGCATCCTGTGAGGCCCTCTGTGGGTCTGTGGAGAGCTCTGGCTCAGCAGTCCAGCTGGCACCTGCAAAGTAAGGATGAGCCAGGTAGCCTGTGATGCTCACCTTTGGTGCACTCTGAGCCCTTCCTCTGGTGCCTTCTCTGGTTCACTCTTGAACTCCTTCCTTGACAGTGGGGCTTTCACAGTCACTCACAGACTTGCTTCCTTGCCATTTTCCTCTATCAGTGGTGTGAAGACCATGCTTACAGTGGGTACGTGGAGAGTGCTTGTGCCTTGCTGGGTGCAGAGGGTTCCCATTAGGCTCAGGGTTGCTGATGGACACCACCTTCTTTCTCGCCAGTCTGGAGCATTTGGGCAGTTGGGCCTGGCCTGTTGGAAATGAATCTATGTTCCTTGTGGGGAAGAGTCTGATAGAGATTCAACCATGAGTCTTTAAAAAGCTTTAGTGGCCATATTAGGTTAGAGTATAGATTCCACTGCTAACAGGGACTTTGTTAAGGGCAAGGCCTGGGCCTTGCTCATTTCTGTGGGTCTGTCCAGTGCTGGATCCAGGACCTGGCAAGTACTCAGTGAATTTCTGTTGAGTGACTGAAGGAGGATGACTCTGGTTGCCTCTAAGCGTTTGGAGGCTGGACATGGAGGAGGGGAGCTGGAGGTACATGTTAGCTGCAGTGGGCACACGAGCACAGCAGGTCCCTTTTAGTCTGAGAGATCCCTCTGTGTCTTCCAAATGACTCCCAAATGGTGTCAGTGTTTCATTCCCTCTGAAGGTGTAATACTTAGTGAATCAAGAAGGGCATGGTCACTTAGCTGTAGGGAAAGGGGCAAGTAAGGAAATGATGATGATGTTAATAACAATGGTAACTTTTTGAATGCATTGTATTAAGATCTTGACCTTACTTCATAATAATAATCCTTTTGGTATCCAAGGCCATCTTTGCTTTTTACCAGGGATCAAGTCTTCATAGCTCCCTGTCCTAGCATCAGAAGCAGGGGTAAAATTCAGGGCACAAAGTGTCCCTTAAACACACTTGGGGTTGTCCAGAGATTAAGGCTGTCACCAGGGTGCCAATTTCTCAGTCCTCTTCTGGTTGGGCTGTCAGGAGGTAGCCTTTCGGGAGGAGTGTTGAGCCAGCCTGAGTTGAATAGGAGGGAGGGTTGAGCCATTCTGAGTTGAATAGGGTCTGGTGCCCTTCCGGGGCCTGGGGCGCCTGCCTGGCTGTGGTTGGCATGTTCCTCAGGGCTGCTGGTGCCCTGGGCATTGTCCCCTGCCCTGTGAAGGTGGCCTGGCCTTAGAGTTGCTTACTGCAAGGGTAGGGTGGCTGCCAGACCTTGCCTTAAAATCCAGGAGGAAAGCTGGGTAATTACTGTGTTTGGTTAAGGAAGCAGGTATTAGAGAAACAGGGAGTGATATAGGGGTTTGGATCAGAAATTGTACGAGGTAGTAGGTGGGAAGTAAATATATTTCCTTCACAGAGCTCAGTAACTGGGTTGCAACCTGGCCTGTTCTAAAAAAAGATACTTCAAAAATCTGTTTTGGAGATAATACTCTTGCCACACATCATCCAGGAGTGGGTGGAGATTGGGGCACTAGGATGAGTGTCACATGGGTTGGGTTGATTCTGACTTATATCACTTACTGGCCAAAGTCACTCAACCATTCCAGGCCTCAGTTTCCTTGTCCATAAAATGGGAGTAAGTAGGCCTTTCCTCTCTGAGGGAAGAGTTCTGTGTCAAGTATTATGACTCTTGAGGCCTTAGGTAAAGATTCTGTTACAGCCCTGGGCAGCTGATCTACAGAGGGGATGAATTTTTTTTTTTTTTTAAATTCTGAGACTGGGGGCAGCATCTATAGATCATGACCTTTGAAAATGTTATCTATTTTGCCTCAGTCCTCTGCTTGTCAGTCCCCTGCTTGTGTGGTTTTGCCTTCTCTGGTCTGGGCTTGGCCATATTAAGTTAGGCTGTCTAGATCCAGGCTGACTCTGGGGTCTATTCACAGTGTGGTTTGAGGCCAGCAGCTCCGCCTCTCCTTCTCCTAGCCCTGATGGGTGGATTACTAAACAGTTTAGGGTTTGTGATAATCCCTCATGCACACATACTCCAGTAGGATCCCTTTCCTACCAGGTCTCTGTGTGAGTTTCCTACTGGCCCTGGGGCAAGTGCAGCAGCCATCTGTGTTATGTCCCCTTTGCAGTGGAAAAACTCTGACATGGGGAAAGGGGCTGGGGCGGGGAAGAACCTGCTCGGGGTTGTGAGCCAGTCCCTGACTTGGGGAGTCAGAGTTCTGGCTTGGGCGGGAGTCTTATCCAGCTCCAATCCAGTGCAGATCTTGAGACTCAGCTGTGCACCGTCTTCCTTTCATCTGCGCCCCCCTCAGGCTCATGATCTTTCTATTCTTAAAGCCACTCACTCAAGAGGCAGGAAGTGGTTTGACTTATCATGGTTTGAATACTGCTCCCAGATTCGATTGTAATCAGTGGTCACTTGCTGGGGGGAGTCAACTTGTTTTTCTCACCAGGCTTGGTGAGAAGGGGCATGGCTGGGGGAGGAAGCAAGTGTGAAACCTTCTGAGTTGAGTGTTTCCTTTGAGGCCGTGGGCCTTGCGTTGGTGGGGAGCTTCCCTGAAATGTAACTGGGGTCAGGCCACCTGTTCACCACTGGCTGCCAGGCTGGGGGTGGTGGAAGGAGGCCTGGGTCCTGGGCCCCAGGTTGGGCATCCAGGTCAGGGAGGACTTGTCAGTTCCACCTGGCAGCAGGGACCCCCTGGAAGGGGCCAGGCACGTGTGCAACCTGATTGCTCTGGAGTTTGTCTCCATCTGTTTGCATCCAAGAATCCCTGACTTTTCAGCTAATCTATGTTTTGTCCCTCTGCCCTTTTGATGGGACATAATAAAGTCCTGCTCACCACCCCTTGTTCAGGTGAGAGTGTACGTCCAGCAGTGTCCCCTTAAAAGAGACCCCATGCAGCTGCACTTCTGCTCTCTTCCCTGAGGGTGGTTTCTCCCTTTTGTTCTCTCCTTTTTCTGATGACGATAATTTGTGAGCTGGTGGCCAAGTAGAAGTACCTCCTGGATGTGGTGAAGTCTGAGATTCCCAGGGTTTCATGGGACTCCTGATTTCAAGTAAAAGAATCACAATAACAAAAGCAACAGTAAGTCAGCAGCCAACTTTTATCACAGGCTTCATAGGTCACAGGCACTCATCTAAAGACTTCACTTAGAGCATCTCTTTGTATTCTCACTGCAGGGAGCTTGGCGCTATTGTTAGAGTTGAGGAAACCAAGACTCTGAGGGTGAAGTAAGTTGCTCAAGGTCCCCAGCTAGTATGTGGGGGAGCAGGATTTGAACGCAGCCATCTGGCTTCAGAGCTTGCACTCTTTACAGAGACCTGGACAGCAGGGGCCTCCTCTTACTCTAGACTGACTAAAGTGAGCCAGGTGGCTCCAGCCCCCTTGGCCAGAGAGGGCGGACTCCCATACATCCCGGGAGAGCCCTCGGTCTCTGCTACCACAGCGGAGAATGTGTCTTTGTGTCAGGGGGCTGGGAAGTAACAGAATGGGTGAGCTGGGCTGGTCCTGTGCGGGGAACAGTGGGGATGGTGGCAAGACAGGGGTGGGGCACATGCCCTGTCACACAGAGTGGTCATCATCTCCCCAACTGATTTTCCCATGTGAGACTGTGGGCCCAGTGAAGCCAGATCTTCTGATTTTTCAAATAGGAGATATTTCTTGATTTTTAAAAGTATGAAGTCAAGATGCTAAGTCTGCTTTGGGCCCGGATCAGCAGGAGGGGACTGCTGCCTCTATCCTAGTTGGTGGCTTCCAGCTCTGCTCTGGGCCCTGGAGTTGCGCATTGGCATGCCAGCATCTCTCACTAGAGTGGAAGAGAATTCTTTGAGGCCTGAGACTTGTCTGAAGCCTCCCTGTAGTCTCAGCACCTTGCCCAGGGTCCAGCCTAGAGTAGAAGCCCAGTAAATGGTTGTGGATGCAATGAGTCTGTGTTCCCCATTTCTACTACAGATGAACAGGCATTTGCAGGGGTGCTGGAAATGCCTCACAGTCCCCCATCTCTGTTCCGCAGAATCTGGGAGTCCCAGTAAGGGGAAATCCTACACGGGCCTGGGCAAGAAGTCCCGGCTGATGAAGACAGTGCAGACCATGAAGGGCCATGGGAACTACCAGAACTGCCCGGTCATGAGGCCACACGCCACGCACTCCAGCTATGGCACCTACGTCACCCTGGCCCCCAAAGTCCTGGTGTTCCCAGTCTTTGTTCAGGTGAGCTTGTGTGTAGCCTCTATGGTTCCCTCAAGAGGAAGTGAGAGAAAAGAGGGCTTTTGCCCCGGGACTCCAAGGATGTTGCCTCATCCTAGGCCTGAGGGAATTCTTTGGGGGCTTAGAGGGAGGATACATAGGAAAATGTGGGGCCAGGGGAGCCTAGCAGTAAGGGAGTCCTCTCCATCCTCCTCCTAACTCCCCCTTTATCTGGAAACGGGGCAAGTGAACAATAACTGCTTGTTGTAATGTCACAGGGCTGGTTTGCTGAGGCTTCCACTTCCTGGCTCACCTGGTGTTGGTGACTGAAGGGGACCTTGAGGCCTGGCACTGGTGTCATGTCTGGTCTCCTTGGTCTCTAGGAACACATCTGGCCACTACTTTTTTTTTTTCAGTTTTTGGCCAGGGTTGGGTTTGAACCCACCACCTCTGGCACATGGGTTGGCGCCCCACTCCTTTGAGCCACAGGCACTGCCCATATCTGGCCACTATTAGTGGCCTGAGATTCATTATACCTCCCTTTTCTTCTCCCTCTTCTTCTTCCCTCTCCTCCTCTCCATTTCTCTCTCCTCTTTAAAAATAGCCTTTATTGATTCCATCACCCAGATATAACATGTAAACATTTAGATGTCTTTTCTGTGTGCGTGTACACATTAAAAACACAAAACACAACACATCTTATTCTATATTTTATATCCTGTTGCCTCTGTTAAATGAAAATCGTTAAAATCATTTCCTACATCATTAAATGTTCTCTGAGCCTGTGTTTTATAGAGGTTGCACGTCCCTCTATTATGTGGACATACTACATTTATTTCACCAGTTCCCTGTTCAGATAGTATGTCTCCTTTTTTTGCTATTGCAAATAACTCTATGATAAAAATCCTTGTGCATAAATTGTGTCTCTGGTTATTTTCCTGGGGAGTGATTCCTGTAAGTAAAATGACTAGGTCATGGGTTGTAAGCATTTTGAAGGCTTCTTAACTTAGTTCCAGAAAGATCCTATTGCTTCACCCTCTTATTAGCAGCGTGGAGGTGACCCGGCCCTTAAGGCTCTGTTTCTGACCGTGTTTTTCTCTTTTCCCTGACATCCCAGTCTGAGCCTATTCATGTCCAGTGAATCTTAGAACTCACTGTGTTAGGGCACAGCGCATCCCTGGCAGGTCACGTACTCTCCTTGGACATACCGTTGGTGGGTGTGGCCTTTGCCTTTCTGTTGGTCTCTTTCTTAGGATGTGACACAAGTTCTTCATGTCTATGGGGGCTAATTTTCATAAGAAATTAAGTATGGTTTTTTAAAAGTTATGAGAATGTTTAAATTGTGAAATATATCAATATCTATCAAAAATAACATAACCCTTAAATGCCCAGTATAAAGAATAATTCTTCTTGACCCTCATGTCCTCTCTTCCCATCAGAGGTTCCCACTAGCCGCCTTTAGGGTCATCATTTTCTTGGGTAATCATTTCCTTGCTTTTCTTTGGTTTTACCGTCTCTGTATGTTTCCCTAAATAACATGTTTTATTTTGCCTCTGGAATGTTATTTGATTGGACTGTGTAGATTCTTCTGGGTCTTGCTTCTTTTGCTTCACGTTGTTTATAAGAGCCATCAGCCTGTGATGTGTAGTTGATTTTAATTTCACTATCTTTGTGTAATGTCATGTACTTAGAGGCCATATTATAAATACACATTCACAAGGACAAACCCTGCCGGGTGATCCAGAGCTTGGGGAGCTTCCTCTGGGCTGGGCTGAGTTGGGTGATGGGCTGGGGTGAGATATTTGAGTGAGAACTGGTCTCTGGGGAAACGGTGGCTCAGAAGGCATCAGGTCAAGTGTATTATGCAAACAGAGTAGGGGCTGACTTGCCCTTGAAGGGACTCAAGTGACCAAATCTCTTGGCATGTGGCTCTTAGGATGCCTCCTCAGGCTGAGGCATGGACAGGACAGCTGGAAAATGTGTGGGGGCTGGAAGGGCCCAGAGGAGCCCTGCATAGGGGACAAGGAGCCAGGGGTGAGGTCTGCAGGGGGCCTAAGCATGTGATTGGACTTCCTGCCAAAGATCATAGCTGTCATGGTGAGAGTTGGTGGGGAAGGTGTCAGCAGCAGTTCTGCACAGGACAGGAACGTCTGTCTTTCTGTTTCCTTCTTGCATATGAGGGGGCGTGTGGTTCGCGGGTTGGGAGAGGGCTGGCAATCTTCTCTCTGGCAGAGGGCTCTCAGTGGCTAGCTTTGACAGGCCCCCTCCGCCAGCAGCCCCACCAGGCCTCTTGGAATTGCCCGCTCAGCTCAGCCTCACTCTGCTTCAGCCTCTAGATCTCTGTAACCCTGCCCGGACCCTCCTGTTGTCGGAGGAGCTGCTGCTATACGAGGGGAGGAATAAAGCTGCCCAGGTAAGACTTTCATCTGTTTCCCAGGTGGTGTTTCCTGGTGGGCTTCACTGGTATCCTCTAGGCCCATCACTTCTGTCTCCTTGTGGTGGTCTTAGATGTATACAAACTCAGGGTAAAGGAGAACCAGAAAGTACCCCCCATCTCTGCGGCCCTCCTTACCAATTGGTTACCTAGCTTTTTCTTATATGTTTCCATGATGGGGAGCTTGCCTCCTCTCAAAGCTGTTTAGTCCATCTTTGTGGCTAGAAAGTTTCCTCAGCCCCTAAAGACAGCCCATTGTTTACCCCAGGAAATAGAAGAATTTGCTGTGGTGAGTGTTACTTGGGCGAGTGAGAAGATTAAAGCTGTTAGCCACAGTGAGTTTTTAGAGGAGCATTGGTTACCCGAGTTGGGGGGTAAGAAGATTAAAGATGTTAGCCACAGTGAATTTTCAGAGGAGCATCGGTTACCTGAGTTTTCTGGGTCTGTGTTAAATCATAGACTCTGACACATGAGTCTATGATTTTTCCTGGATTCCAGCTTTGCCAACAAGGTGCTGAGGTGGGGCCATGCCACTCTTCCTGAGAGAAACCCATGCTTTCTGATAATCGGGAGACCACCAGGCACTCACATAGTCCCCAGAGCTGGTCAGGTTCCAGCTTAGTCACTGAGTTTAAAACCATGCGGAAACAGAAGTTGGTGCACTGGGATCTGGCTTGGCTACCTGGGAGCCATGGGTAGGGCAGAGGGCTGCTGCAGGTCAGGCCCTGATTCAGAGCTGGTATGGCTGAGTCAAGTGGCAGCTTGGGGTAATGGAAAGATCAGGAAACTTGGAGGCAGGAAGCCTCTATCCAGCCCCAGCTCTACTGCTGGCTTGCTTGTGAATTCTCCCTTGTTCCTCAGTCTTCCCATCTGAACAGTGGGTATATATGTATTTGAGGTAACCAGGGCAGGGTCAGAGGTTGACTGTTGTCTAACGGCCCTTTCAGCCTCAGCCACTCTGGGATACTATGTGTGATTGTGGCTGAAGCAGGAAGTTGGTTTTGTTTTTTAAACAAGCAGACCAGGACTTATATGTTCCAAATGAACCTTGTCTTTTTCAAGAGAGCTCCCTAGGGACACTGTGTGCTTATTTCTACCCCTCAGCATTGCCTACTATATCTCTGGACTTCCTCTCCGTTTGAACCTCCTCTTTGGGAAACTTCTTAAGGATGTCAGCACACTTAATCTGAGATTCGGCACATCTTCCGAACTGCCTCGGTGGGGGTGAAACATCATCTGCCAAGGGGGATTTAAGTTTCACGACTGAGAAATCATCGCCTGGAGCTGTGTTTATGAATAAATCTGTGATAGAGCTCAGTTAGGTGTCCAAGGGTCAGAAAGTAAGGTGTGGCCATTAGTTCACTGGGCTCCTAAGAAGGCAGCTAGAAATGGCAGCCACCTGTAACATACACACATTAATTACATTTGCCCCTCTGTCTGCTCACCATTAAATCTGCAAACAAGAAGCAGCTATTGCTGATCCCCACTGTGCAGGCATTTTATACACTTGATCCCAATGAGTTCTTACAGCACCCGCATGAGAGGCACGGGTGTTCCTAATCTGTAGTTGGGACAGCTGAGGCTCCAGGGAGATGAAGTGAGGCCTGAGGGTCTCGGGGCCCGCAAAGGACGGAGCCAGGATTAGCATGCCAGCTCTCTCTGGCTCAGCATTGCTTTCCATGACCCATACTACTGCTGGCATGTTTGTTTAAAAACAAACTAAGGAGCACAGGCTGAAACCATAGCCTGGTTACAGTTACCATTTGTCCACAAAATCTTTGCTCATAACTCTGTGGAGCCTTAGAGACCAAGAGACTCACCCTCCTTTCCCTGACCTCCCTGCCTTGAAGATTGAAGGAAACTATTTGAAGGCAAGTGAAATAGATATATTCCTTTTTCTTGAAGTATTATAGCAACCAAATATGTGGATCCTGGTACCCTATCATATTACTCAGGCCAAAAAAATGAACCAATTCAAGAAGGATTTGGATAAATTCATAGAAACTCAGTGTTGGTTGGGCCCTCAGGAGTCATCCATTCTAGTTATTTCCTGTGACTTTTCAGCTAACAGTTTTTGGTCGGTTTGTGAATCTGCAGGGGCAGAAGTCTGAGCACTGGTTTTATTACTGGAGAGTGGCAAATAGTAGGAAGTTCTCCCTTATGCTTAATAGAAATCTTCATTTCTGGAATGTCCCCCCTTGGTTCTTTGTCCCTTCTCTTCTCTGGGCATGCACAAGTTTGCTAATTTCTGTGAGGCGGTCCAGTCCTACACACTGAACTGCCCTCATCGTATCCCTTCCCAGAAGTCACAAAGTTGATTAAGGTGCCCTGAGGTTAAATCAGCATTTTGAAACTGCCTCATTTTTATTGATATAATATAACACAGCATAACACACCACTACAATACAATAGTTACTGAGCATCTACAGCACAGCTAGGCACAGCACTAGGTTCTAGGAATACCGTGAAGCTCAAGACAGACACACCCTCACTTTGCACACTGACTCATGGAGTTTAACATTAACTAAGGCATCAAGGTCTTTTCTACAAACCCTGCCCTTAGTCCAGATTCCCAGGAGGAAGCTTAGTTAGGGCCACTTAGGAGAAGCCACCCTCCAAATTGTAAGGACTTCCTAACCAAGGGATCCCTCAACCCTTAACCCTTTGGAGAAACAGATGTGTCCTTGGAGCAAGTGTGGGGAAGACACCTGGGGACTTCCATGGCCTGTTGTGGAGGGCAGCAGGTAACTGGGCCATGGGGATCAGTCCACTGTAGCTGCTATGGCCACCACTGGATCCTGGTGGGATAGGAGGAGTCCACACGCCCTCCCCCAGCATGCTTCCCCTTCTGCCCTGCCTCCAGCTGTGTGCCAGCTCTGGCCTTTCCCTGACCCAACCTTTGGGGAAATTCTTCATTCATGCCTTAATCACTTCCTGTCTAGACCATATTCTCAGCTCTGGGAGTCTGAGCGGAGCTGTGGCCTGGGCCTTTTCTCACCTTGCCAGTGGCTCCTCCCTACCGACCCTCTTTCTAGTCTTCTCTGGGCCTGGATCATCATTTGACTTTCTAGGCCCCTGATAGGTTGTCTCCTCCCAATTCTTCCCCTGCTCATTTCTCCCTGGGTCTGGAGGTGATGGGCAGATTTCCCTGGAGTCGGGGATGTGTTTTGCAGAAGCTGGAGGGTTTGCCCTGTGTTGCCAGCTAGTTTAGAGCCTTCTTTGCGTTGCTTGGACTTTGAGGTCTTCTCCCCAGGCAGCCAACCCCTTGAATCTTTCTGAACTCTGAGATCATTTTCTTCTCCTCCCTGAACTTTTTTTTTTTTGTCTCCTTTGCTCATATTTTTGATGTGTGTGTGGATTCTTCCACGTTCCATAGGCATACTGCTGCCTGTCTGTATAGGGGGAGCTTTAGGGTCTGCCAGGCCTGTGTAATAGTCCCTGGTTGTGTGACTGTGGACAGGTCACTTGGCCTCTCTGAGCTTAGGGTCCTCATCTGTAACTGAGAGCAATGGTGTTATTTACACACAGACACTAAGTGTTTCACAAATGCAGGCTTCTCTTGTGCTTCATTGAGATAGGGCTGTGGTGGGAAGGGGTTGGGTAGGGTCACCACCAAGATCCCTGCCAGCCTTTGTGTTTGGGCCCCATTGGAGAAGCTGGAGCCTCTGAGAACTCCTGCTCAAGGATGTCCCCCTATTGTCTCCGTGGCCCAGATTTCCTTCAACCACTGTATTTGTGCTATACTCAAGAAGCCAAGGGATCCTTTTATACATTTCATATATATTTAAATTACAAAATAACAGTCTCATTGCAAAATAATGCAAATTAAACCACAGTATATAAAGGAAAATCCTGTTTCCCAGAGTGAGGGGTGGGTTGAGTATCTTAGGTATTTTTTAAAAAATGTAAACATTGGCTCAGTGGCTGTAGCTCAGTGGTTAAGGCACTAGCTACATACGTCAGGGCTGGTGGGTTCGAACCTGGCCTGTGCCTGCTAAACAACAATGAGAACTACAACAACAAAAATAGCTGGGTGTTGTGGTGGGCACTGGTAGTCCCAGCTACTCGAGAGGCTGAGGCAAGAGAATCGCTTGAGCCCAATTGTTTGAGATTACTGTGAGCTGTGATGCCACGCACTCTACTGAGGGCAACATAGTGAGACTCTTTCTCAAAAAAAAAAAAAGTAAACATAGATGTGCAGATGTATTTTATAAAATTAGATCATACTTGAGGTGTTTTTGCACATTGTACTATTTCGACTTATGATAGATTTCTATTTCTGTACTCGTAGCTCTACCTTTTTTTTATAGTTGCATCAAATTCTACCATATGAATTTGCATAATTTATTTTATCCATCCTCTCTTGATGGGCATTTATGTTATTCTTTCTTTACATGTCAACAATGCTGTTGAAAATATCAGTATATGTTTAGATATCCTTAGAAAGTATTTCAGTAGGACAGAGTGTTAGAAGTAGAGTTGTGGGGTGGTCTTTAAAAGTTTGATCACTAAGTGTCAACTCAGTGCCTGCCAAGCCCTTCTGGCTAATTCTTCTTACTCCAGAAGAGATGAAGTGTTGGGTTTTGACACCTCAAGGGAAGTTCACGTAATTAATAATACTTTGTTTTCTTTGGAGAACCTAAAATTGGAGTTTATTACTTTTGACTAAAGGCCACTTTAGGATTTACAAAACAAAGAACAGTGTACTCTTTAGTGGCATTAGAGGATCAAGTGGATTTTTTTTTAGCATAAAACTATGCTGAGCATGCCTGTTGGTTTACCTATAATGTCTAAAAATAGCTTTTGCTTTTATTTTTGGAGCAGCTAGCGCATAAAAGAGAGAAAAGTTATGAACATGTCTGTATTGGAGCGTAAGTAACTAGCTTTTTCTTGAGCTGCTTTCTCATTAATGCAGTTAAAATTATCTGCAAGGCGTTTGGTAATATCCCTGCACGCTGTGTGCCACTTCACTTCAGTCTCAGGAGAGCTTGTGGAAAAAGCCTGTGAGTGACAAGGCAAGGACTCTTCTTCCTGTTTGAATTGATGAGAAAACTAAGGCTTGGGGGGGTTCAAGGAACTTCACCAATTTTTTTTTTTTTTTTTTTTTGTGATTAGTGAGCAACAGAGCTGGGACAGGAGCCTCATGACTTCTGACACCAAGTCCAGTGCTCTTTCAGTCAGATGCTTACAGTAGAATTAAAACAAATATGGAACATCTTATAGCTCAAGGTCAATTCCAAGCTATGAATGCTGGGCTGGAGACTCCAGGGCGTTTGGTCAGAGAAGTGAGCCTGAGGGCACTGGGCTGTAGAGAGGCTTGCAGAGACCATCTGCAGGGAGGGTGATGTGATGACCTTTTCTTTCTTCTGTTTTTTCCTATTCAAAATGTAGAAAACTGGAGGGTGCAAGAGCCATCTCTCCACTGCAGGTCAAGTCTCTGCCCTTGGCTGTAGCCACATCCCACCCCACTCCTGGTTCTGCCTGAGATAATGAGGATGAGTGACCTGAACCTTCAGGGGAGGTTGTGGCTCCCAGCCTCCCGGAGACAACAGGGCAGCCAGTTTGCTGTCTTTCCATACAGGTGACACTGTTTGCCTACTCGGACCTGCTGCTTTTCACCAAGGAGGACGAGCCTGGCCGCTGTGACGTCCTGAGGAACCCTCTCTACCTCCAGAGTGTGAAGCTGCAGGAAGGTAAGCAGGTACCCAGGTACCCGGGGCTTCTCCCCATATGCCCGGAGTGGCGCTGCTCCGGGAACCCTCTGGGGTCCGGCACTCAGCGGTCAGTGGGGCATTTGAGTATGTGCTATTGAGCTCCCTTAGCTGGTGCTCTCAGATACTGGCATGTCTTCTGATATGCCCTGAGCTTTTCAAGGAGGCTTTTTCTATTCTAGAGACCTAGGGAGGCTATGGAGCAGGGTGGGAAGAGCTTTGGACTCAGACAGACTTGTGTTCAAATCTTGGCCCTGCCCCTCCCTACCTTCCTCATGTAAATGTGGATAATAATAGCATCTCAGAAGGTTGTTGTGAAGATTAAATTGGGTCATAAATGCAAAATGCATGGTTCACAACAGGTGCCCAATTAGTGCTCGTTACCACATCACAGATCTGTGGACAGAGACTACTGCTTCTGAGCTGTCCAGCCTGAGCCCAAGCAGCCGGGCACAGGTGCATGTGGGCACGTGGAGGGAATCTCTAACCCAAACTTTCCACCGTGCCCTCCTCCGCTCTGGGGACGGGAAGCCAGCTGGGAGTATCTGTCGGCGGTTTGGTTTGGCGCCTGAGGTCTCTGCTGAAAGGGGCTTGATTTCCTCTCCCAGATTATGAAAACAACAACAGACCTGTTTGAGGGTGGGTGACAGGGGCAGGGAGGAAAATATTACCCAGCGAAAGAATTCTGTTTTGTCGGGTTTTGCTCCAGGAAAACTTCCTGACTGTTGCAAACCCATCCTGTGTGCTCGGTGCCCTGGCTGTTCCTCCTCCTTGGAAACCCGGTCAGTGTGAGAACCTCCACTCTCACTTCCCCACGGGAAGCCACTTACGACTTCTCTGGCTCTGGCTTTCTCCTGCATAGGGAGGGGAAAAACGAGTCCCCTCACTCGGGGACAGCCAGGAGCAATGGGAAGGAGCAGTCCTCTGAGCCGCTCTAGCTCAGACACTGGTGTCCCAGGAGCTCTCATGTGCCTGCCAGAGGAGGGCAGGTTAGTGGCTCCAGCAGACTCTGCCCTGGGCTTCCTGCTGCTCCCCTGACTGCCCAGCTTCCCCTACATGCCCATTCTTCCCTGTCCTCTCCCAATCCCAGCTCAGTCACATGGGGAAGTACTGGGCAGGGGGCATTGCTCAGGGTGACAGGAACAGAACCTTCACTCTGGGTGCACACTACAAGTCTGAGGCGACAAGCTCAGGATCCTGGTTTGCTCAGCTCCCTGCTACAAGAAGGGAGGGGAGAGAAAGGGGGGCTCAGACTGGCTACATGTTGGAGGTTGGGGCTAGGGTGGGGGAAAAGCACAGTAGCTGGGTCTGAGGTTCTGGGCTTAGCGCTGCTGCTGCTGCTATGTGACTTCAGCTGGTCCTTTCTCTCTTCTGGGCTTTAATTTCTCTGTCTGGGAAATAAGACTTGGGCAAGCCCTTTGAGTTTCCTGCCAGCTCTGATACCCCCCCACCCAAAGTTGCTCTCAGAAGCCAAGCAGTGCCTGCCCATATACCATCTTGCCTCCACCCCTCAGGGGGCCTGATTAGGAATGGGGATGTGATGGCCTAGGTGGGTAGTGTGGGGCCTGGAGGTATTGCAGAGAAACTCTCTAGATGCTGAGCTATGTGTGCAGGCTGGTTCCCATGGCTTCCTCTCCCAGCACATAGTGGGCTGGCTAGACAAGGGTTGAGGGTGCCCAAGGCAACACTTCTCAGGAGAGATGACCATGGCCATGAGAGCCCACTGGGTTGGTGTGGGAAAAGGGTCTACATATGTGTGCGTGTCTGCCCTGGATTTGTTGGGCAGATTGGCACAGACCTTAGGCCTGAGATGGTTTTGAGCAGACCTCCCGGGAGCCTGAGAGCTGCTGAGAGGGAAGGAAATGGCTTCATGACACTGAGCAGTCAAGGTGCACATTCCAATGCTTACATTTCTTTCCAGGCACCAGGGAGCTCTTGCCTCTCTCCCCCTTCTATCCCTACTCCCCTGAGATAGGCTTGTGGGTCTGGAGGTTCACGGAAGTTTAGTGACCCCTTCTCCTGCAGTCAAGAGTTGGAGCCACAGGACCCAATGTTCTGAGTCCTGGCGTCCAATTTCCTGCCTGCCTCCCCTGTGCCCCAAGAGACCCATTGCTACAGCAAGGGCCAGAGCGAGGCTTTTAAGAGATGCATTTGGGGCCTTAGCTGGAGCCTCTGTTGGCAGAATGGTCTCTGATTAACATTACTGACGCCTCCTTGGTTTCTTGTTTCAAGAAACATGTATGCAGAGTTCAATTTGGGGTAAAGAAAAGAGTAAACAAGGAATATACCCAGCCTTTCCAGCTGACTGGCGCTGGCAGGGCCTGGCAGAGGAGAATCAGCCCCACCTTAGGGACCAAGGACTCCTTCGTGTGACTTGTCTGAAGAATCTTTAGCACCACGGGTCAAGTATACTTCCAATACCCAGCATGGGGCACAGAACAATGTGGCTAGTGCATGAGTTTGTTGGGTGAATGAATAAATGACTAAAAAGGAGACCAGAAATACCTCCTCAGCTCCAGAGCTGGGGGGGTGCACCCCTCCCTCAGGGCTCCTGGCTGGTGGCCTATTAAATCCTGCTTGCCCTCCTCCTGCCCAGCTTCTCCCAAGCTCCAGCAGGGCTGAATGGCAGGGTAATGGGAACAGGCGGAGAGCTGGCGCTAACAATTGGGACATCTCCGGTCAGACGGGCCCATTGTGGTCTCTTCCTGCCTCCACCGCCCGCTGGCTTTGGTCTTCTTTGTGTTTCTGCCTCCTAGGCAGCCAGCATCACGCCCACAGTATGTCCTCCTGGCCTGCTCAGGTCTCTCAGAAGTGGCCTGGAAATGTTCAGCTGATGCTTGGGCTCTCCGCCCACGTCGGAGAGCCAGCCGGGTACTCAGTTTCTGAAACTCATTTGTTTAGGTCCTAGCTGCTGGGACGCTTGAAATTAACTCTTAATTGACATTTTCTGAGCATGTCCTGTGAGCCTACCTCAGTGCCAGCCACTGAGGTGACAGCAGTGGAAGGGCCATCCTGCCACCTCTGGAGCTTGTAAGTGTGACACTCTGGTCAGGATTGTAGGCTATGAAAGCAGATCGCCCTAGGTTCAAATCTCAGCTCTGTCACTTACTGCCAGCCTGAATCCAAAGCTCAGTCCAAGTTGTTTCCCTCCCTGGGTCTGTCTTTTTATCTGGAGAGTGGAGACAACACCTCTCCTGACTTGCCCCAGAGGATGAAGAGGGTTTGGCGAGTGACTGAGTTTGGGATCTCAGACCCGGTGGGAGAAGGATCTGGGGAAATGGTGCCGGGATCAGACGTGGGCTCTACTCAGCCCCTGACTAGGATCTCCCCTGCATGGTTCATGCATTCCTTGGTGGGAAGTGAGGCCTACTCTGGGAGCAAATGGCTCCTTGTTGAATTTCAGAATGGCAGAGACAGGGGAGTGTTGAAGGGCAACCCAACGTGTGCTGCCTCAGTGTCCCTCTTCTCTACACGAGGCCCCAGTTCTAATGCTCTGGCAGAGGCTGTGGTGTCTATCCTGGTCAGCCTCTGGGCAGCCTGCTGTCTGGAAGCAGCTGCTCCTCCCTGGCATCCTGGGCTCCCTCAGCGTGTTGTTCTTTTGTGAGGCTCTGAACCAGGCTGTATGCCGCCCATCCCGTCCTTCTCTGCAAGTGCTGCCAGCACAAGGCTGGGATGGGGAGCAGATCGTGGTGAAAGTTTACAGTAATCAGGGAGGTCAGAGCGGCGGGGTGGGGGTGACACAGCACAGAAAAGTTGTCAAGGCAATTCAGCAGCCCTGCCCTGCCCTGGGGACTGTGTCTTAGGGTGTGTTCTCCCAACCTCACCTCCTGTCTGCCTGAGGCTCTCATCTCCTGGGCTTTCCCCTCCCTTCCAGACCCTTGTCTTTCCTCACTGCCAGCTTCTAGACCCCAGATTTCTGTTATTTTCTTACATAGATCTTTGTGGCTCTCCCTGGACACTAAGGTCTGCTTCTGGAAAGGCAAGGAAACGTCCCAGTATGTTCTAAACAAAAGAAACTGCCTCTTATTATCTCCACCCTCAGCAACACAAGAACCAGCAGAAGCTTTGAAATGAGTATAATTGTGATGGATGTGTTACTTAGGTCAATGTAAGCATTTTACATTGTATATCAAAGCGGTACCCTGAACTCCATAAATGCAACAATGTACAAAGTTATGGTTTAATAAAAAATAATAATAAAAAAGATATTACAGCTTTCCTAAATACGATGAGTTCTTAGGCAGGGCTTCCTTTCTCCCAGCCCATCTCTATGTGGGGAGAAGCTGAGAGATTTATTCTCTCAAAGTCCACAGTGAACCCTCCATTTACTTATAAGCTATTTTTTATCTGGCTGGCAGCCCCTGGCACTCAGATAATTTTGTCTAAGTAACTGTTACATGCCTGCTGTGAGGGGATCTGACCTTTGCCCCCCCCTCCCCCCGGGGCCCTCTCTCACTGCTTTTCTTAGGAATTGGCGTGGTCCACAATCTCTATTTTTACGTTGCCACCTTCTCTTTGTAAAAAATGCTGGTTCCTTTGACAATGCCTTTGCTTCAAGTATGTATTGAGGGGGCTGCTCTGAGCCCAGCACTGGGCCTGGTGCCATGAGAAGATGGGGGGCTGGGTAGGGCTTCCGTGGTGGGCATTTGAGAGAAGTGTGTGGTGGGTCAGAGTATGGCTCTGGGGCCACTTATTTAACCCATCTGTGCCTCAGTGTTCTCACTTGAGTCATGGGTGACAAGAGCCCTGTCTACAGGGGGTTGTCCTGAGGGTCGAGCTTATATGTGGAAAGCGTTTAGAACAGTAGCTGGTGTGTGGCACTGCGGCACTCTGACGCTCTACAGCCCTTGAAGTGTTTGCTGTTGCATGTGCTATGTGGTTGCCTCCCTTGACAGTGACAGCCTGCCTAGTGAGGCCAATTGCTTGGTGGGAGTGCTGCCAGGTCCCAATGAGTGGCTGTAGTGCTGAGTGCAGGCGTCCAGGAGGAGGTGGCAGGGTGGCTTCTCCGTCACCTTGCTCACTCTCGAGCACAACTTGTGCTTCTCCATCTCCCTGACTTTCTTCACCTCCTGGTGAGCCTTTTCTTCTCATCTCGAGCCCAACTTCAACAGCTGAAGGTCATCTCTCTGTGCTCCTGCTTTCGAGGCACTCTGAGCAGACCATCCGCGCTTAGGCCAGGATTCTACCTGACCTTTTCTAGGGAGAAGGGAGCAGCCCACAGCCCCTTCCAGCTGCCTCCCAGGTAGACAGGGCTTGGCCAAGGGTTGCTGTTGGGGTCCTGGACCAAAGGTGGGGGAGGCTCTAGGGAAACACACAGAGGTGTTGGGGTCAAGCCCCATTCTGAAAACCATCTCTGGGCTCCTCTCTGGAGATGACTAGGTCTCCCCCATTGCAGGGCCCACCTAGGAACTAAATGGCTCCTTGTTGAATTTAACAATGGCAAAGGAATTGGATCCTTCAAAGGAAAACCCAGATGTGTACTGCCTCCATTTCCCTCACTGCAGGGATCACAGAAAGGAGGAGACCTTCTGGGATGGATGACAGCTCCCTGCAGCTAGCTGTTTTGTGCCCAGAGGCTACTCCTGTCTTCTGCTCCTGAATCTGAGATTTCAGCATTCCTTAGGCCAGGCAGCAGAGATCTTATACTTGGTTATGTATTTAGCCCTTTCCTCCAGAGACTTCTCGGTCTCCCTATCTGCTTTGTTCTCCCTCTTTTTCCAGGAAGCACACCCCCCACACAGCCTTCTGGCCTTCTGGGTGAGACATCTGATAGTGCTCCCGCAAACTGCCATTAATCAATTCTAATGCAAGGCTTACTTTTGTTCCCTCCAAGGTTCCTCAGAAGATCTGAAATTCTGCGTGCTGTACCTGGCAGAGGTGAGTCCTTTCCTGTGTGTTTGCAGAGAAAGATCTGTGATGTGGTACTTGAGGGGAGATGTTGGGCTGGGTGCTAGACCAGGGTTCTGGTGTCATCCTCGTGCATTGGGCCAGGGCAAGTTCAGATTGGTGGGTTCTTGTAGCATGGGAATAGCAGTCCCTGCCCTTACCTGTCTTACCTCTGGCAAGGGAAGGGGCTCTAAGTGGACAAGAAAGCACTTAGAGATCTCTGGCTCAGCACCCCTTTCCTCCTGCACTGCAAGAATCATAAGGATGTGGCCTGACAGCTGCAGGTCACCCTGTTCATCTGATTGCTCTGCCTGCCTCTTTCTTCCACTTTTTTGGAGAAATACCAGCCCTGATACCTCCTCCAGTGTTTCCAGAGGCCTGAAAGTAACTTTGCCAGGGCCAGATAATACAGACTAAAGGAAACATCAAGTGACTGTGTTTGGGGCTGGTATGATGCTCACTCAGTGTGATTGACATTCCTGGTTATCCTCAGTCTGATCAGGAGCTTGGGTGGGCAGTGCTATGTCTTGGCTGAGCAAAATCTGTCAAATGATTTATTGCTTGTTATGGTTCAGTAGATAAAATATCATGAATCCAGGGGTTTAACCATAGAGGTCCTCCATGATGAAAAAGTTGAGACACACAGATTCTTTTCAATTTTCAGTGAAATTTCTATTCTCAACCTTGTGTCTCCGCTAATGTAAATAGGGTGGTGTCTGTTCTAAGCAAGGGCTCATTTTTGCCCTCTGCATCCAATTAAGTTTGTCTCATCCAACAGTCCTGGGAACCTGTCTTGTTGGCGGTGGGGCATAGTCTATCTATACTGGCTGGTCAAGGGGAATGCATCCTTTTGAGAAGGAACTGGGCACTCTTTGTAACTGAAAATCATTCCTTGGGTTCCCACCTAAGGTAAGAGATGAAAGGCCTTGGTTTAGTCTTTGAACAGATCCCTAAGGGAGAAGACAGCTGATGTGAAGTTAGCTTCAGGGGAGAGCAGAAAGTTTTAAAGAGGCAGTGGACATTGCTGGAGCTCAGCTGGGGGCCCAGGCTGCCTGGCATGGCTGACCTGAGGGCCAAGAGGACACTGATGTCCTGCTCTGTGTCCGCTACATTTCCACTGGGGCATAGAAAGTGGCTGGTGGAGTCACTTTTGTGCTGGAAGGTGTTTAGTTCCATAGAGCTAAGCGAGCAGAGTACATGTAGGAGAGGCTGTCAGCCAGGCTGGGCTATTCCAGCCTCACTCTCTGGGTTCCGATTCTCCTAGGCAGCCCCTTAAAGGAGGCGCCCAGCTCTTAAATGACAAGAGAACTTCCTTCCGGGCTGGGTTTGTTTTTCCCCAGAGAAAAGCACTTCTGCTCCATGGGTTTCCAGGGATTTACCTCCTAGCCCTTCAAAGATTAATGAAGGGTTATTGATTTGGGGCTTTTTATTTCAGTAAAGTGCTAGGTGATCTGACTCTGAGGGTTTAGGGGATTGATCTCACAGGCAGCTAGAAACTTCTCTCTTCTTTTAATGGGTTGCTGTTTATGAGAGGCACGTCTGTAATGCCGAGAAGACAGAGACTATATCTGTAGTCTGGGATGTTCTTAACATGGGTGGTTTGGGATCCCACAGAGAGCCCCAAACTCACACCTTAGTTGGAACTTCTGATAAGTGGTTTCTCTTCATTGCCTGACATATAAGTGGCACTCAGAGAAGAAACCTGGGGGGAACAGAGTCAGAGCTTGGTGAGGTTTTTCCACACTGCACTGAGAAAGCCCCAATCACCTGAGTGGTGGTGGATCTGTTTGTTCCCAGCTGCAAGGTCCTGGGTGGGGTTGTCCTAGTCTTAGGCTCTGGGTCTCTATTCCTCTGGACAGGAGTCCCTGCAAATCCATGGGACAGATGCAATTCCTATAGAGGACCAGGGGCATTGGATCAATGGATACGTTGATCAGGGGCCATTCTCTAATCTAGCTCTGAGGCTGGCTCCATTAATTTAAGAGTCTGGGCCTTAGAGTTAAGAAGACCTGGATTTGAATCTTGGCTCTACCATTTCTGGAGTGATCTGGAAGTTACATATGCATCTCTGAAACAAGGCTGATGAGGCCTACCTTGCAGGGTTGTTGTGATGATTAAATGAGATTCAATAAGAGTGCATCTAAGCACTTAGTCCTGAGCCTGGCACACAGTGAGTGCTCAATAAATGGTAGCTATTATTATTGTCAGCTTCCTAACAAGGGGAAAAGCTTTTCATATTCATTTACTCTCCATTAGAGACATCAGAAATGATTTATTGATCTTTTCAAAAGAAAACTAAGAGGAATATTTCACATTCTTGGTAATGTGCATATAAAGTTATACAAATATGGCAAAATTGTAGGCTTTGGAGGAGGCAGAAGACAAACTATGAATCTCTTCTGAAATTTCCTGGGGCTGATGATATAACCTCTTTAAGCCTCGGTTTTCTCATCTAAAAAATGGTAACAGCTGTTCCTTTCCTTCCTCTGTCACAGAGTCATTAGGAGAATTGAATTAAATGAGAAAATGTTTGTCAAGGCAAATGAATCAACTTAAATCATGGCTGAAGAGGTTTGGGTTTTTACTAAGATAAAGTTAATTCAGGAGCAAGGATGTGAGGCAAGATGGGGATCTTGGAAGAGGCCAAGAGAAGGGTGGGTGTCTGGGTGGATTTGAGGATGCCCATGTTTAAGTGAGAAGAAATCTGGACCTGGTGCCTCTGGGTCTGGGTTGTGCATCTGAAAGGTCTGTGCTTGGTTGGGTCTGGGCTGTGCATCTGAAAGGTCTGTGCTTGGTTGGGTCTGGGCTGTGCATCTGAAAGGTCTGTGCTTGGTTGACCTCCCCATAGTCTGCCCGAGTGAGTTCTGTGAGGATGCCCTCAAGGCAGCTTATGGCCTTGACCCTGGATCCTGGTGTTTACAGCATAGTGCATATCAGCACTGAATCTGTATTGATGAGTTGGGTTGTATACTGGATTAAGAGATATAGTTCACATGTGGGAGCAGCCAGGCAGGCACTAAGGGTCCTCAGGTGAGACAGATTTAGCCAGATGAGAGAGTGCAGCCTCCCTGCAGGGAGCAGCCTTTGTGTTCTTGCTCTCTCAGCTAGGCCGGTTTCCAAGGCTTGGGCCTCCCAGGAACGTTTGCCTATCTCAGCCAGCCAGCTCCTGCCCCAGGGCCAGGCCTGAGTTTAGGTTCTTAGAGCGTTGTAAGCCATCTGGGCTCTCCAGCATTATAGAGGTTTTCAGCTTCAAGTTCTTAGAGCCAAAGACTTAGCCCTATACTCTGCAGTTGAGACAGACAATATGGATTCCATCCCAGGTCGGGAAACGTGGTTTTCCAAAGGGCAGGGGAGGGGGGGTGGCTCTTATGATGTCAGTAAAATGGGGATAATTACTGCTGCAAAGTTGTGGAATACATATCAAAGCATTGCTGTGCTTCCTACAGGTAATGAGGTATGAGGAGGATAGCTCAGTGTTAGGGGTAGATGGCTTTCTCACTGTAGGAGACCCACTCAGCATGGGGAGCTTTCTTGTACCTTGTTAAAAAGGAGACTTCCATCCTGGAGCTGAGAGCTGATATACAAAGGCAGCCAGTGAACTCTGCGGCTTCTCTGAGACTCACTGGCCTGCAGAGTTCCTTTTGAAGGTTTTGCACTCTGGTTGCCTCTGGGGCCAGTCTGCCAGGGGGAGCATTCTTGCCAGCCAAGGGTGCGGCAGGTTTGGAGATGAAATCCCAGCGGAAAGTTCTTCAAGCCTTTGAGTTTTCCTTCTGCCGCTCATTGGCGATGAGACTCAGTGAGGTCCTCAGTCACTCTGAGTCTTGGTTATTCCCTTCCATAAAATGAGAAGAACTCTCCACGCCCTCTTGCTGCTTCTTTGAATTGCCAAGATCAAAGTGAGATCATCTATGGGAAAGTTATTTTTAATTTATTAGACCAAAGGAATTATTAGTAAGGCAGAATCTCTGCTTCAGAACAGAAAGAGGACATTGGGGCTCAGGGAGATCAAGGAATTTACTAAAGCCCACATGGCTAGGTAAGAGCAGGGCTGGGAGGCACAGGCCAGGGCCAGCTTTTTGGACCATAGTTCCTGTCTCTCCCCTACTCTTCACAGGGGAGCATGATGAGAACCAGACCAGAGGGCCCTCTGGTCAGCATCTGTCTCACCAGGCTCCTTCCTGGGGAATCTTGAGGTCTTTTGCTGGGTGTGCCCTTCTCTTAGAAGGTTCTGGGAAGTGGAGGAGCCCTGTTGTTAAGTGGAAGCTCCCAGGATCGCCTCAGTGCACCCACCCAGTTTCCAGAAGCCAGCAGATGGGTCTTTCTCCCCTCTCTCCTCCATGCTTTTAGGAAGATCATCTTCTGAGTACTTTTGGGCAGGAGAGGCATGGCTGGCACCCTGGGGACATTCAGCATGGGAGGTGGCCCCACCCTTTGTGAGGTTGGGTTGGAAGGGAGGGTAGACAGTCTCTAGATGCTATTAGAAGATGCAAATAACCATCTTCAGCTCAGGGCCTTGGCATTTGCTGTTTCTAGAACAACTTTTCCCAAGCACTTTCCTCGCTGGCTTCTTCTTATAGTTCAAACCTTAGCTCAAGGGTCACCCCTTCAAAGAAGCCTGTTCTGATTACCTGATTCATTATAAACTCTCTCTCTATGACTTCTGTGACATTTACACATTTTTTAATTTTAGTTGTCCCTTGGTATCCATGGGGGATTAGTTCCAAGACCCCCATGGATTCTAAAACCCACAGATCCTCTAGTCCTTGCTATAAAATTCCATGTAACCTATGCACCTCTTCCCATGTACTTTAAAACATCTCTACGTTACTTATAATAATACTTAACATATGCTTTCAAATATTTTCCATCTACTCTTGACTGAGTCCATGGATGCAGAACCCACAGATATGGAAGGCTGACTCTGTGTTATTATTATTTGTTGTCTCTGCCCTTGAACCTGAGGGCAAGGACTTCATTTATCTCATGTAGCTCTTTATCTCTGGTGCCCAGGACAGTCCCTGACACATAGCAAGTGCTCAATAAATACTTGTTAAATGAAATAGATCACCAAATATTAATAATAACAATACCTACTTTTTATTGAGGCCTGAGGTTGTCCTCATTGCTCACTCTGCAGTAGCTCTGAGGGTGAGGTGATTTCATTATTGTCCCCATTTTACAGATGGCATATAAATTCCTGAGGTAGACAGCCAGGAAGTGGCAAGGCTAGAATTTGCACCAGGCCTGCCCAACTGCAAAACAGGGAGGGACTGGATAGAGACACTGTCTTTTTCTCTGTTCCAGGCCATCTAACTCATGCTTCCTGGCGCGTTCATTTAACCTCAGCACTGTGGGGTTGTAATCAAATCCCAGTGGAGTCAGAAAGGGCTCGCCATCCCTGAGCAGAGCAGGGGAGGGGGTGGGTGGTAACCCTGGACACGTGGCACTGTTCTCACCCTGACTCTAGCTGCTTCAGGGGGCAACCCCTGGGCTCCCCACAGCTCTCTGGTGCTTGCACCAAAGCTGGCCTGCATTTGACCTTATCCCAGCAGTTCCTCCAGGCAGCCAGAGCTTACCAAGGCCATTACTTGCCAAGCAGTATGCTAGGCCCTTATCAAAAAGGCCTTCCTAGAAGGAGTTTACAGTCCAGTTGGACAGAGGAGTCTGTAGTGCTTGGCAAAGCAGATGTGAGTGTTAGCGCCGTGGGAGATGTTGCTGCCCTCATCTGAGCTGTCACTGATCAGACCTAGAGCATGGCCCAGGCAGCAGGGCTGCAGAGGGTTACCTGACTCTACCCACCAAAGACTTTCTCAAGGGACTTGAGTTGCTGTTTGGGTTCTGTTGGTCTGTCTATTCATCTGCATGTCTAACCTTGGCCTGGTGATCAGATAAGTGTGTTGTGAGGAAGGCAGATTCTGTCAGCTGAGAGGAGAGTTCCTGGCTCCACAGAGCATCAGCCAAGGCCTTGGCCCTCTGGGTTCCAACCCCCTACTGCTGCCTTGTGCTGCCTGCCCCCGAGGGTGACCTCACTGTGTCTGTCTTGTAGCTCCCCACAGGCCTCCACTGTGTTGGGAGCTATGCCTCCTTCCCCTCCCCCAACCTGTGCGCTGGCCAGCTGGCCCCTGAGCCCACTTCCCTGCTCCCTGCTGCCTCGATGTCACTGGGGATTAGTGTGCATTATGGCTTTTGGTGGACACTCCCCTCTCTGCTATAGCCTCGCCCTCTGGAGCCCAGGGATGGGCTTGGGCCTGGGAGCCCCCTGAACCAGGGAGCAGTCTTGACCATCCCTTTCTCTGTTTTCCCTGACGTCAGAAGGCAGAGTGCTTATTCACTTTGGAAGCACACTCGCAGGAGCAGAAGAAGAGAGTGTGCTGGTGCCTGTCGGAGAACATCGCCAAGCAGCAACAGCTGGCAGCGTCGCCCCTGGAGAGCAAGGTAAGGCCTTGCCAGTGGCGGCGGCCCCTGCTGCCTTGCTTTCCCTCAGTGAGCCTGGACCCTCGAGCTTCTGAATTGGTACTTGGATCTAGCAATGAGCTCTTGGCAAGGGGGCTTATGCCTGACTGTCTCTCTCTGTTGGCATTACACTGGATCTGTTGAGTGGGTTCGACATTGCTCGGGTAGAGCGAGAGAGCCAAATCGAGCATGACCCATCAATCCTCCGCTCTGTTCTTCTGTTTGCCTATGGCAAGGTTTAATTTGAGCTGGGCTCCCTGCTGCTGCCTGGCACGCACTCCCCTCTGCCATTGGGTAGGCTGTGCCCAGGGGCAGCACACTGGTATTTAACATTGGCCTGAGGCAGCATAATTGAGGGGATGTTTGCAGCAGGAGCTGTTATACATTACAGTTGCATGCAGGCCTGAGCCAAATGCTGCTGAATTTGGACTTCTGGGGCCTGGGGATTGGCCAGCTGGAGCTTCAGAGAAGATTAGAGACTCCCAGTGGAGGCTGATCTGGGCCAGGCACTGCTCAGCCCCTGCAGTGCCTGGGGAAGGGGGAAGGATGGGAGGTTGGACTGCAGCCTTACCCATTGACGCCTGGATGCCAGCTACAAGGCACAGTGATAGTTCCCCGTTTGTGAGTCATTCAGATCCCTTCTCTTGCTTAAGGTGCTGGCCATTTTGGAATTTGGTCTGGTTGGCTGTAAAAGTTACTGAGGTGGTTGCTGTCCTCGATCTGGCGGAAGATTGATGAAAGTGAGCTTCGGCCTATAAACTCGCCACCTTACTACTTCCTCCTGGTGTGTCCAGGACACACATGCCATGGCACAGGCCTTTGGAGAGGCCATTGGGCAGAAGCTGGAGAAAAGGTGGTTGGTGGCCTCTCCTGAGGGCCAGTGGCGGTGGCAGCTCCCCAGCTATTCCCAAAGGGAGTGATCTGAGAATTGACGTGATCTCAGATATGAAAGTTACCTTGTTTTATGTCTGCCAAGGACAAGAATAACTTTGATGAGGGAAGAGAGTGTCCAGTGGACTTCTGAACCACACTCTGTCCACTGACTGGCATTTGTGACCTTGGGCAAGGCCTTCAACTTCTCTGTGCTTGGTACCCCCCTCAGTAACCTGGGTCAATAGTTCCTCCTCCAAAGGGTTGTTGTGAGAATCAGATGAGGGGGTGTATATACAGTTCATAGCACAGTGCCTGGTATGCAGTTGATGCTTACTCAACCACAGCTATGGGGAATGCATTGCCCCTTGCCCCAGCCCCAGGTGGCTTGTTGCAGCACTGAGTGGAACTCTTTGGCAGGTTCTACTGAGCAGAGACCTGTCACGTGTCTATTGGCAGTCACCATGCCTACAGTCTGTCACTGTGCCTATAGACTGCCTTGTCCCATTGATCCTGTCCCATTGAATCACGTGGGGAAGCCCCCGGGACATCCAGTGGCTGGACTCATGCCCCAAGCTTTCTTTTGTTTGGGCTTAGTTCTTCTTGTTTGAGGATGGAAGAGCTTGCTGGATCCAGAGTGTGTTTGTAGCAGCCTTCTTTATGCCTTGGAGAATCTCCCCATCCTCAGGTCTGGGAGGACAGTGGGCTATTAAAGGCGGGTTGTTTCTGAGGCAACTTCTAGTCCCTGCAGGGCTGTGGTCTTGGATGGCTGACCCTTGATGGCTGGGGGCGGCAGGGCCATGTCAAGGTGTCTGGGCATCCTGGGTGGGTAACAGTTTGGACACCTTTTTAAATCAAAGCTTTTCAAAGGTGAATTCGGTGGAGAAGCTGGGTGCTGGGCAGGAAGAGGGAGAAGCATGGGGGCTGAGTGTGGGGACAGTCCCAGAATTGCTTCCTGGGCCTGTGAACTGGGCTCTGCTCCAGACTTGCACACTCCACTTGGCCCACCCTCCTGGGAAGGCTGTTATGCAACTGTCCTTTGTTAGGCAGGCCCCTGCGGTCTCATGTCTCCACCTCCACAGTAGCACTCAGTCTTAGCAACTCATTTCTTCTAGTCACTTACAGAACACTTCCTGAAAGGAGTTCTGGTCAATATGATTCTCTCGAGCCCTGTATTATTCCAGAATTCTTTAGAGACTTTAGTGAGTGACTGGGCCTAGATGGCTGTCCAGCTGGCCCACCCCATCGTCCTCCTGTGCTCAGCTGTGTTTGGTCCTGTAAGTCTCAGAGTGACATGAGTCTCCTTCCTGAGAGCTGGGCCACAGCCTTTCTCTAAGGTTGCTGTCCTCCAGGGGAGAAGAGGGAAGGCCAAGCAGAGCTCGGAGACTGGCTTCTTGCTTTGCTGGCATAAAGGGGCCTGAATACTGATTTGTTGTGAGTCCTGACTTAGTAGCAGGCCTTTGGATGCCTTTTTTGTGCTCTTTCCATGAATGCTCTACCTTCTGCCGAACAATGGAAAACACTGCCTGATCCTGCTGCTCATCCCATTCCCCATTCAGATATCTCTCAGGAGGCAGAGGGATTTGTAAGGCAATTCCCCAGACTCCACCACTACCCCTTCTCAACCCCTGTCCCCTGCTCCTTTCAACAGTGTTTGCTGACACCTTGGGTTGGAAGATTCTTCAAACATCTCGCGGAATGTGCAGCTCTTCCCTAATCCACAAAATATAATAAATGCAATTTACCCTGAAAATGAAATAGATGCTTGTTGGAAAGAATGGAGGGAATTGGAGGAAGGCAAATTCAAAGAACAATAGAGAGGCAGGTGTGTCACTGCCATGTGGCCTTTGACAACTACTTCCTGCTGTGGCTTTGGTAGCCCCATCTGTACATTGACCTAGAAGCTCTTTCCGTCTCTTTAAGCAGGCACAGGCTTTCTGTGCTCTCTGGGGGCCTAGCAGCATGGGGAGTTCCAGGTAGGCAGGCAGCAGCTATCTGGCATCCCTTCTCTGAGGGTCCACTGCCTTTCTCTTGGTTGACCATGGTAGGTAGGAGCTGCTCTGAGTAGGCTTGAAGGTTCTCTTTTCTTCCTGTTGAAGTAAATGACCTGATTCCTGTCCTATTCCAGTTTCCTACTCCTGCTTGACCCCCTCCTACCTCTTCAGAACTTTGCCCTCTCTCCTGCTTCGTTACCTGTCATTGGAAGGCATCTTCCTTTCTTCTGTTCTTCCTGGAATACCTTGCCCAGAGAATGGGGCATGGACGATGAAGGGACAGCTTTTGGGTCCTGAGAGTAGCCAGTGAGTCCTGGCTGTCCCTTCATCGTCCATGCAGCAAGCCTGCAGCTGAGCACTCTCATGTGTATGGTGCTGGGCTGGGCTCCGGGAAGCCCTCTGGGAAGAGTAGGCTTCTGGCTGAGCCCTTAGGCTGAGAAGGGGGTCTGAAGTGTGACGAGTCCTGGCCCCATCCTCTGGGCAAGCCAGGGCTCCACGGGGGAAATGCACAGAGAATCTGTACCGCTCTGTCCTTGGGAGATCACGGTCTATCTACTAGCATCTCTAGACAGAGATGGCAACATATAGTTCAAAATAACCTAGTAAGTCATATGTCCTCAGGTGAGCCACCTAGCCTCTCTGAGACTCAGTTTTTTTTTATCAGTAAAGTGGATGGATTTACAGGGTTCTTATGAGGACTAAATCCATAATGTGCTTGGTGTACAAGAAGAACTCTATGAACTAGCTGCTATCCTTATCACCGCCATTATTTCTAAGTGATGTCTATATAGGAAGATTCATCTGGTGGCCTTGTTTACTGAAGCTGCAGCTGCTGCTTTGAGTGACGACTGCTCCATGTCACTTCCTGGTAGCCACCTGCTGTATTCCAGGGCCCAGGCAGGGAAACCGAGGCCTCCTGAGTCAGCTGTGGCTATAAGACTTCTCCTAGATGTGAAGCTGAGGTGCCTGCCACCTTGTCATCTCCACTGGGGCCGCTAGAGACAGGGCCCCTGAGATACCAGGGTCTGTCTGAAAACCTTAGAAAGGAGCAGAGGCAGGTCCTGGAGTCAGGCAGCCCCGCCTGAGTTGACAGCAAGCTAATTCCAGTTCTGTCTGGTTCCACAGAAACTCCACCCTTACGGCTCCCTCCAGCAGGAGATGGGGCCTGTCAACTCCACCAAGGCTACCCAGGATAGAAGCTTTACCTCATCAGGACAGACTCTGATTGGCTGAGCAAACCCAAGGGCGGGACTCTGCTTCTGACAACTTAACCCTTTCTTGGGCATCCCCTACCACACAGTAACCTCGCCTCAACTGGACCCAAACTGGAAGACCAAGATGGTGGGCCTAGGGTCATCTGAAGAGAGAGTTCCCAAGGTTGTATGTGGACTTGGCAACAGAAGGATCACAGTGGAGTGAGAGGCCTTGTGGGCATGTGCAGGCTGGCAGCAGCTAGTCCTGAGTGGAGAAGATGCAGAAGTTTATTCCCTCCAAGGAAAAGGAGACTAAATGGCATCTGGGCTTCCAGTGGTGGTTCTAGCTCCTGCCTTGGGGGCAGCAGGAAAGGCTGAGAGAGGTCACCCCTGATGGAGAACAATGCCACGATCCATTGCTGTCAGAAGACACCTCCACTCTTCCACTCGTTTGTCATCTGTGTATACTTGCGTATTCATTCATGAATATTTTGGGACATCTACTTTATGCCAGGCCCTGTGCTAGGAGCTGGGCACACTGTGGAGAACAAGATGGATGTGGCCTCTGCTCTCATCAAGGTTTCAGTCCTAGTAGGGAATGTGCATTAATAAATGACTCTAACACACGCACATGCACACACATGATTATAAACTGTGATAATCTGTGGAGGAAAAGAACAGCTTCCTTTCAGAGGGACTTGAACTTAGACTGCTACATGTCGGGGCAAGGCAGGGAAGGGCATAACTTTTAAGCCCAGATCTGAGGGCTGAAAAGAAGTTAGGGACTGGGAAAATTGTTCCTGGTCAGAGGAACAGCTTGTGAAGGACCCTGAGATGAGAAGGAGCTCAGTGAGCTTAAGGACTGGAGAGCAGCCTTGTGTGGCTGGTGCTTCTTAAAGGGCAAAACGAGGTGGGTGAGGGCCAA